TGTGTTGTTGTTTACACTTGTTTACCTGTGTTGCAGACCACCATCATGGCGGTGGAGTACGATGGAGGTGTTGTGATTGGAGCAGACTCTCGCACCACCACAGGGTGAGGAGAGCACAAGGATGAAAATGTTGTTTTTATGACTCTCAGGTAAACTCACCTGTCTGTCTGTCTGTCTGTCTGTCTGTCAGAGCTTACATCGCCAACAGAGTGACGGACAAACTGACCCGGATCCACAACCAGATCTTCTGCTGCAGGTCAGTTCTGCTCAGTAAACAAACGGGTTGTTTACTTGTTGTTTATGTGGAACTCTTCATGAACGGGTTGCTTGTGTTCCAGGTCCGGCTCGGCTGCAGACACTCAGGCCATCGCTGAGGTCGTTGCCTACCAGCTGGGCTTCCACAGGTAAGTGTTTGATTGACAGCTCAGTGTCCAGTTAGGCGTGGTTTAAACTGGTCTGTGGCCCCGCCCCCTCAGCATCGAGCTGGACGAGCCCCCGCTGGTGGAGACGGCTGCCAACCTGTTCAGAGCCAGCTGCTACCGCTACAGAGAGGAGCTGATGGCCGGGATCCTGGTGGCAGGCTGGGACCGGAGGAAAGGAGGACAGGTACGCCCTCACCTGGACAGCACCTGTCTGTTTTCTTTCAGTCCTGTTCTGCTTTGTTTACATTTATTTGAATGTAAATTAGTTTTAGTGCAGTCTCAGCTCTGCCTGAGCCTTGTTTACCTGTCCCCCACCTGTCCCAGGTGTACTGCATTCCTATTGGTGGGATGTTGGTGCGGCAGCCCGTGGCGGTGGGCGGCAGCGGCAGCTCCTACATCTACGGCTTCATGGACTCCAACTACAAAGCAGGAATGAGTAAAGACCAGTGTCTAGAGCTGACTGCCTCAGGTGAGCTGCTGCTGCACTGCATGCTGGGAGCTGGAGTTCTCCTACAGCTGTCTGACTACCTGTGTGTGTGTCTTGCTCCAGCTCTGGCTCTGGCCATGGAGAGAGACGGCTCCAGCGGCGGCGTCATCAGACTGGCGACCATTTCTGAGGCCGGCGTGGAGCGACGCGTCATCCTGGGAGACCAGCTGCCCAAGTTCTCCACCCACTGAGCATGCTCAGTACCTCTGTTCATGTCAGATGTGTTAATAAAGTTTTCAGTTGTCAGTCAGCTGCGTCTCTGTCTGATTGGGTTGTAGCCAATGAGGGGGGAGGAGTTTTGTTGTGGTCTTGTTAAAGATGATGCAGGACTGAAGTGATGCCACAGTTTGAGCCAATCAGAGCGGAGCAGGGCGGGGCCTGCTGGGAGCTCAGGTGAGCAGCAGAGAAACAAGTCAAGGAGGAGGTGATGATGGGACCTATGTGGCTGCCATTTTAACGTTTTGTTTTCACAGGTTTCTCACCAAATTTCAGATCAACATGAGGCATCAGTGAGATTAGTCATGTTTTCTTTAAAGCTAAAGCGGCCATCTTGAATATTTGATTTGCATTAGGAATGTCTTAACAACTCACTCTCAGCTACAACTATACTAAATTTCATCTCAGAACAACTGAGTTATAGTCAACGTTGCGTTTGCTGAGGTAGCTGTGGCAGCCATCTTGAATCAAAATTGCTCCAAACGTTAATCAGTTTTAGACATTTATCTGACGATTACTTTCTGTGAGTGTCAATCAAATCCAACAAGCTGCTCATGAGATATGTTGCTAACAGACAGACCATCTAAGTTGACGTGTTTTAAATGTGTGTCCCTCAGAGTGTGTCAGGTCAGAGGTGAGATAAGAGACTGATATTTGTCAGAACAGCAGTGAACACACGTAATATATATATAATATACTATGTACTTTTATTAACGTCATGTAAACAGTACTGTTCATGGGAATACTCCAAGTGACCTGTATACAGGAAAACACTCTAATATGGTGGGGGGGCATCATCCAAAATATTTATTTCGGCTTTAATCCATGAGATGTGCTCCCCTGACTCTGACCTCTGACCTTTAGGTTGTTCACCATGAACTGTTTTCTTTAAAGAATGTCATGTTTCATATTCTCTGTCCTTGGACTGAGTCAGCTACAGTCGGACTAATGTTTTATGCTTTTAAGAAAGAAATGAATCATTAACAAAGTTTGTTTTATGCTATTTTTATTTATTTTATTTAACCTTCATTTATACAGGTTGGACCCATTTTCAAGAGAGATCTGTTTTAGACAACAAAGTACAGACAACAATAAAAAGCAATTAAAGTAAAAGTGTTATAAAACAATAAAATCAAGGCGCCATATAAAACAGGGAGAAATACTAAAAAAATATATTTGCTTTGATGTTTCTATTGACGTTATCAGATGTTTGAAACCCCATAAAGAAATCAAGGAGGACAACTTCAGTTCCTGTTACAAGATGTTCCAGGTGCAGGAGCTGAGCAGGAGAAGACCTTTTGCCAAGTTCAGTCCATACTGAGGGAACGCTGCAGGTAATGATGTCCTGAGAGCGCACGCTGTAACTGCACTGACGACGTGACATGTTGGAGGAGGTATAAGAAGGCAGCAGACCAAGGATGGCTGTATAGATGAACATGAACCAGTGTGAGAGCCTACGAGAAGTTAATGATGACCAGGGTGCAGTGGTAGTTACAACCAGTTGTGAAACTTAGCGTGAGCGTAAGAATCTACAAACTCAACATGAACACCATGCATGATGAGAAGAGGAGGAAGAGTTGCTGGCACCAACTTTCTGTTGGAAAACAACATCCCTTTGGTTTTATCAACAATTAGCACCAGTTTGAGATGGAACAAGTCTGACTGGACGATGTCAAACGCAGACTGTAGAAGCTGGAAAACCTTCAAATGTTCTAGCTCAACTATAAACAACAGCGTCATCGGCATAGAGATGCAACAACGCGCCAGGAATGTCTTGACCTACATTACTTATATAAATTGTAAAAAAAAGTGGGACCTAAAACTGAGCCTTGTGGCACACCATTAGTGACTGTTGGGTAGCTAGATGAAGTGCCGTTATGAGAGATGGTTTGAGAACCAGCCAACAGTGTGATCTGAGAAGCCAACATCTGAGAGCTTGTGGCAGAAGATGTGATGATCTACAGTATGAAGGGCTTGGACAGGTCTAAGTAAAGTGCAGCACAATAATCCTTAGAGTCCAAACCTTCAACAAGATTAAGAACCTTCAGCAGTCGTTGTGCTGTGTTGTTTCCTGAAGCCAGACTGATGGAGAGGTAAGATGTAAAATAATCTAAATGCTTCTTGATGTGGACATCAAGGCTCAGTCATCCAGGTAAAACATCCATTCCTGATGTCTGAAGTTTTTTGTATTCTCTTCCCCTGTGCTCTCTTGTGTCCGGCACCTGTCGCACCTGTCTCCATTTCCAATCACCCCAGGTGTTTGTCATCATGTCTCATCAGCGTCTCTATTTATTCAGTGTCTTTGTATCTTCTCATGTCTGTGGACCATACGCCTGATGTTCTTTTCCTCCTGTCGTCTCACGCCTTCTTGTGAGTTTTGCTGCCCCGACAGCTTTTGTTAATAAATTAATTTTTACAAACGGAGCCTCCCGTTGCCTGCACGTGGGTTCAACTAAAATTACAGAATCATGTCAGTTGTCTTGAATATTTACCAGTTTTTCTAGGACCTTAGCTAAAATATAGTTTGGTGATCAGTCGACAGTTGTTCAGTGTAGTGGGGGCTCCTCCCTTCATTAACCGTAGAACAACGCTGTTTCCCAACATCTGGAATAATATTCTGTTGTATGCACAGATTACATGTATAACCCCACTCCTGCAGGCTGTGTGGGAAAACATTCTGCGTGACGGCTGTCGGTTTATGCAATAAACAAATTCAAGACCAGTTCTGAAGACATAGTTTATTAATTCACCTGTTTCTGTACAAGTTTAAAATTTCCACAACACGTGTTCACCTGCTCACCTGTTTAACTGTTTACCTGTTCCAGAGTTTGATCTGCTCGGGGTTAAAGAGAGTAAGTCAGCAGAAAACATTTAAATTCATTAAACTAAATGAAATTCAAGCAACAAAAACAAAGATTCCTTTCTCATAGTTTTTTTTAATTCTGATTATTTAATGAACTATAGAGAGTAAATGGTTTTGTCTCGTTTGTCTCTGATGGACTGGAGACCTGTCCAGGGTGTCCCTGTGATGGACTGGACAGTGGACACCTGTCCAGGTGTCCCCCGCCTCTCACTGTAACTGCTGGATGTGGGCACCACCTGAAAAGGAAGAAACTGGTAAAGATGATGGATTGATCTTTATTCCTGCTGCTGTCTGAAACGGACATGCGCAGACAGAGTTTCTCCTTCACATGTTGTCACTGTATTAGCCCCGCCTCCTACTGACCGGCAGTCCTCTCAGCCAATCAGAGCTGGCAGTGGGTGGAGTTTTCATGGAGGCGGAGACTAAAAACTTTTGTCCCGAACTTTTTCTGGATGTTTGATCAGAAAAACACGGAGAGGAAACGCTGGGAGGACTGGGTGGACTGGGAGCTCCACACATCCCGGAGAAGGAGCTTTATCTGCGGCCTGCGCTCTGTCAGAGGCCTCCTCCGAACCTCCTGCCGAACCTCCTGCTGACCCTCCGAACCGTCGCCGCTCGTCTGGCCGAACCCAGAGCTCCTGTGTCGGCATCAGAGGCAGCCGCGCCCCGCCGCTGCTCTCTGGAGGAAGAGGAGACAAAGGAGGAGGAGAACCCGGGGAGGAGGAGGAGAACCCGGGGAGGAGGA